AGGGTTGCTGTGGGGGTGTTGGGGGTCCCTGGGGGGTTGTGGGGTCCTGTGGGGTCCCTATGGGGGTATTGGGGTGTTTGGTTCCCTATGGGGGGTTTTGGGGGTCCTGGGGGGTCCCTATGGGGGTATTGGGGTGTTTGGTTCCCTATGGGGGTATTGGGGGTCCTGGGGGGTCCCTATGGGGGTATTGGGGTGTTTGGTTCCCTATGGGGGTATTGGGGGTGTTTGGTTCTCTATGGGGGTATTGGGGGTCCTGGGGGGTCCCTATGGGGGTATTGGGGGTGTTTGGGGGGGTGTTTGGGGGTGCCCCCCCCCCCCATTGCCTTTTCCTGCCCCAGATCCTGAGCAATGCCCGGCTCTTCCTGGAGAACCTCATCAAGTGAGTGCCCCACAGGGAACCCCCACAGGGACCCCCCCCATGGACCCCCAGTGCCCCACAGGGACCCCCCCCAGTGCCCCACAGGGACCCCCCCACAGGGACCCCCCCATTGCCCCACAGGGACCCCCCCACAGGGACCCCCCCTATGGACCCCAGTGCCCCACAGGGACCCCCACAGGGACCCCCCCATGGACCCCAGTGCCCCACAGTGACCCCCCCATGACCCCCCCATTGCCCCACAGTGACCCCCCCATTGCCCCACAGTGACCCCCTGTGACCCCCCTATTGCCCCCTAATGACCCCCCTTAATAGCCCCATTGCCCCCCCAGTGACCCCTCATTGCCCCCCATTGCCCCCCATTACCCAATGACCCCTTCATTGCCCCCCATTGCCCCAATGACCCCCCAAGTGACCCCCCCTTGCCACCCCAGTGACCCCCTTATTGCCCTCCTTGATCCCCCCATTGCCCGCCCGTGACCCCCCCAGTGACCCCCCCATTGCCCCCCAATGACCCCGTGACCCCCCCAGGGACCCCTAATACTCCCTCATTGCCCCCCAATGACCCCCTGTGACCCCCATTGCCCCCCCAATACCCCCTCATTGCCCCCACTGACCCCTCTGTGAGACCCCATTGCCCCCATAGTGACCCCCCCAGTGCCCCCCTCATTGCCCCCCATTGGCCCCCCCTTGTGACCCCAATGCCCCCCCTATGACCCCCCAATGAGCCTCCATTGCCCCCCAATGACCCCCCGTGATCCCCCCATTGCCCCCCCGTGACCCCCACAATGCCCCCCATTGCCCTCCCATTGCCCCCAATGCCCCCCCGTGACCCCCACAATGCCCCCCATTGCCCTCCCATTGCCCCCAATGCCCCCCGTGACCCCCACAATGCCCCCCCATTGCCCTCCCATTGCCCCCAATGCCCCCCGTGACCCCCACAATGCCCTCCCATTGCCCCCCCATTGCCCCCAATGCCCCCCATGACCCCCACAATGCCCCCCCAGTGCCCTCCCATTGCCCCCAATGCCCCCCGTGACCCCCACAATGCCCCCCCAGTGCCCTCCCATTGCCCCCAATGCCCCCCGTGACCCCCACAATGCCCCCCCAGTGCCCTCCCATTGCCCCCAATGGCCCCCGTGACCCCCACAATGCCCCCCCAGTGCCCTCCCATTGCCCCCAATGCTCCCTGTGACCCCCACAATGCCCCCCCCATGCCCCCCGTGACCCCCCCAATGCCCCCCCATTGCCCTCCCATTGCCCCCAATGCCCCCCGTGACCCCCCCAATGCCCCCCATTGCCCTCAACGACCCCCCCCGTGACCCCCCCAATACCCCCCATTGCCCTCCCATTGCCCCCAATGCCCCCCGTGACCCCCCCAATGCCCCCCATTGCCCTCAACGACCCCCCCCGTGACCCCCCCAATACCCCCCATTGCCCTCCCATTGCCCCCATTGGGCCCCATGACCCCCACAATGCCTCCCCATTGCCCTCCCATTGCCCCCAATGCCCCCCGTGACCCCCCCAATACCCCCCATTGCCCTCCCATTGCCCCCATTGCCCCCCCATGACCCCCACAATGCCCCCCCATTGCCCTCCCATTGCCCCCAATGCCCCCCGTGACCCCCCCAATACCCCCCATTGCCCTCAACGACCCCCCCCCATTGCACCCCCCCTGTCCCCCAATAACCCCCCCATTGTCCCCTTATTGCCCCCCCTATGGGGCTGGGGGGGGGTAACGACTTAGGACTGGGACACCCTCAAGGGGGATCCCTATGGATTCAAGGGGGGGTTTGGGGCATCCCATTGGGATGCAGAGGGGGGGTTGAGGGGGGTGAACCCCCCCCCATCGTGTGCCCCCCCTCATTGCCATGGCTCAGGTACGGGATCCTGGTGGATCCCATCCAAGTGGTGTCCCTGTTCCTGAAGGATCCCTATTCCTGGCCCTCGCTTTGCCTCATCATTGGTGAGTGCCCCCCCCAACCCCATTGAAGGTTTATGGGGGGGACATGGACACCCTGACCCCCCCCCCAATGCCTTCATCCACCCCCCCCAAACCTCCTCTTCCTCCTCCCGTTACCAGTGGCCAACGTCTTCGCCGTGGTGGCCCTCACCTTGGAGCGGTGCTTGGCGAAGGTGAGGGCATTGACCCCATTGACCCCATTGATCCCATTGATCTCATCCCTGCTTGATCCCATTGATCCCATTGACCCCATTGACCCCATTGATCCCATTGACCCCATTGATCCCATTGACCTCATCCCTGCTTGATCCCATTGATCCCATTGATCCCATTGACCCCATTGATCCCATTGATCCCATTGACCTCATCCCTGCTTGATCCCATTGATCCCATTGATCCCATTGACCCCATTGATCCCATTGACCCCATTGACCTCATCCCTGCTTGATCCCATTGACCCCATTGATCCCATTGATCTCATCCCTGCTTGATCCCATTGATCCCATTGACCCCATCCCTTCCTGATCCCATTGATCCTATTGACCCCATTGATCCCATTGACCCCCATTGACCCCATCCCTTCCTGATCCCATTGATCCCATTGACCCCATCCCTGCTTGATCCCATTGACCCCATTGATCCCATTGACCCCATCCCTGCCTGATCCTATTGACCCCATCCCTGCCTGATCCCGTTGATCCCGTTGATCCCATTGACCCCATCCCTGCCTGATCCCATTGATCCCATTGACCCCATCCCTTCCTGATCCCATTGATCCCATTGATCGCATTGACCCCATCCTTGCTTGATCCCATTGATCCCATTGACCCCATCCCTGCCTGATCCCATTGATCCCATTGACCCCATTGACCCTATCCGTGCCTGATCCCATTGATCTCATTGACCCCATCCCTTCCTGATCCCATTGATCCCATTGACCCCATCTCTACCTCATCCCATTGACCCCCTCACCCCCATCCCTACCTGATCCCCTTGACCCCATCCCTTTGTGTCCCCCCCCCATAGGGCTCCCTGTCCGAGGCCTCCGGAGCCTTCCTCCACGCTCTCAACCTCGTCGCCATCCTCTTCTTCCCGGCCGCCACCGTGCTCATGGTGGCCTCCATCACCCCCGGTGAGGGCTCTGCCTTGGGGGTCACAATGGGGGGGTCCCGGTGGGTCCCGTCCCCCCCCATCACCCCCCATGTCCCGCAGTGGGCTCCGTCTTCGCGCTCGCCATCTACACCATCCTCTTCCTCAAGCTCTTCTCCTTCCGGGACGTGAACCGCTGGTGCCGGGAGGCCACGGCCGGCGCCCAGGACCAAGGTTGGGATGGAGGGGGGGGAATTCGGGCCTGATCCCATTGATCCCATCCCTGCTTGATCCCATTGATCCCATCCGGGCCTGATCCCATTGATCCCATTGACTCCATCCCATTGATCCCATCCGGGCCTGATCCCATTGATGCCATTGACCCCATTGATCCCATTGCCTCCATCCCTGCCTGATCCCATTGACTCCATCCCTGCTTGATCCCATTGATCCCATCCCTGCTTGATCTCATTGATCCCATCCGGGCCTGATCCCATTGATCCCGTTGACCCCATCCCTGCCTGATCCCATTGATCCCATTGGTCCCATCCCTGCCTGATCCCATTGGTCCCATCCCTGCCTGATCCCATTAATCCCATTGACTCCATCCCTGCCTGATCCCATTGATTCCATCCCTGCCTGATCCCATTGATCCCATTGATTCCATACCCCACCTGATCCCATTGATCCCATTGATCCCATTGACCCCATCCCTGCCTGATCCCATTGATCCCATCCCTGCCGGATCCCATTGATCCCATCAACCCCATCCCTGCCTGATCCCATTGATCCCATCCCTGCCTGATCCCATTGACTCCATCCCTGCTTGATCCCATTGATCCCATCCCTGCCTGATCCCATTGATTCCATCCGGGCCTGATCCCATTGATCCCATTGACCCCATCCCTGCCTGATCCCATTGATCCCATTGACCCCATCCCTGCCTGATCCCATTGACCCCATCCCTGCCTGTTCCCATTGACCCCATCCCTGCCTGATCCCATTGATCCCATCCCTGCCTGATCCCATTGATCCCGTTGACCCCATCCCTGCCTGATCCCATTGACCCCATCCCTGCCTGTTCCCATTGACCCCATCCCTGCCTGATCCCATTGATCCCATTGACCCCATCCCTACCTGATCCCATTGATCCCATTGACCCCATCCCTGCCTGACCCCATTGATCTTGTTTGGGGTGTTGGGGGATCCTCATACCCCGTTTCCCCCCCAGTTCCAGAGGGCAGGAAAGCCAATGGGGACGTTGGGATGAGCGAGGTCTCGTACCCACACAACCTCACCTATAGAAGTAAGTGCTATGGGGGGGGGGGGGGGGATGTGGGGCAGGACCCCCCCTCATCGCCCCCCTGCCCCATAGATCTCTATTACTTCCTCTTCGCCCCCACCCTCTGCTATGAGCTCAACTTCCCGCGCTCCCCCCGCATCCGGAAGCGCTTCCTCCTGCGGCGCCTCTTTGAGATGGTTTGAACATGGGGGGGGGAAATGGGGGGGGGGGCAATGGGGGGGGTCATTGGGGGGTCGATGGGGGGGGTGGGAGCCTGCCCTGAGCTGAGGGGGTGGGGATGGGGGGGGGGTGATGGGGAGGGGGGGTCACTAAGGTGATGGGGATGATGGGGGGGTCACTAAGGTGGGGGGATGATGGGGGGCCCTAAGGTGGGGGGGTTATGGGGGGGTGATGGGGTGGGGGTCACTAAGGTGATGGGGATGATGGGGGCCCCCTAAGGTGATGGGGGATGATGGGGGGGGTCACTAAGGTGATGGGGATGATGGGGGGGTCACTAAGGTGATGGGGATGATGGGGGGGTCACTAAGGTGATGGGGATGATGGGGGGGTCACTAAGGTGGGGGGGTGATGGGGGGGTCACTGAGGTGATGATGATGATGGGGGGGGTCACTAAGGTGATGGGGGATGATGGGGGGGTCCCTAAGGTGGGGGGGTCATGGGGGGGTCACTAAGGTGATGGGGGTGATGGGGGGGTCACTAAGGTGATGATGGGGGGGTCACTAAGGTGATGGGGGATGATGGGGGGGTCACTAAGGTGGGGGGATGATGGGGGGGTCACTAAGGTGGGGGGATGATGGGGGGCACTAAGGTGGGGGGGTGATGGGGGGGTCACTAAGGTGATGGGGATGATGGGGGGGCCCTAAGGTGGGGGGGTAATGGGGGATGATGGGGGGGGGTCACTAAGGAGATGATGATGATGGGGGGGGCCCTAAGGTGGGGGGATGATGGGGGGGTCACTAAGGTGATGGGGGATGATGGGGGGGCCCTAAGGTGGGGGGTGATGGGGGTGGGGGTCACTAAGGTGATGGGGATGATGGGGGGGTCACTAAGGTGATGGGGATGATGGGGGGGGCCCTAAGGTGATGGGGGATGATGGGGGGGTCACTAAGGTGATGATGATGATGGGGGGGGGCCCTAAGGTGCGGGGGTGATGGGGTGGTCCCTAAGGTGATGGGGATGATGGGGGGGCCCTAAGGTGGGGGGGTAATGGGGGATGATGGGGGTGGTCCCTAAGGTGATGGGGATGATGGGGGGTGTTCTCATGGGATGGGGGATGATGGGGGGTCCCTAAGGTGATGATGATGGGGGGGACCCTAAAGTGGGGGGGTGATTGGGTGTTCCCTAAGGTGATGATGATGGGGGGTCCCTAAGGTAGGGGGGTGATGGGGGGGGGGGGCGATGATTCAGGGGCAACTGGAGTTGGGGGGGTGGTGGTTGGGGGGCACCCTGGGATAAGGAGATAATGGGGGGGGGGGGGTCCACATCTGGGGGTGCTGATTCCCCCCCCCCTCTGTTCCAGCTCTTCTTCATCCAGCTGCTGGTGGGGCTGATCCAGCAGGTACCTGGGGGGGGGGGGGGGGTCCCCAGCCCCACTTTGGGGGTCCTGGGGGGGGGTCCCAGGTCCCAGCAGCGTTTCCCTTGCAGTGGATGGTGCCCACGATCCAGAACTCCATGAAACCCTTTCGGGTGAGTTGGGGTGGGGGGGGAGTGTCTGTCTGATCCCATTGATTCCATTGACCCCACCCCTGCCTGATCCCATTGATTCCATTGACCCCATCCCTGTCTGATCTCATTGATCCCATTGACCCCATCCCTGCCTGATCCCATTGATTCCATTGACCCCATCCCTGCCTGATCCCATTGATCCCATTGACCCCATCCCTGCCTGATCCCATTGATTCCATTGACCCCATCCCTGCCTGATCCCATTGATCCCATTGACCCCATCCCTGCCTGATCCCATTGATCCCATTGACCCCATCCCTGTCTGATCCCATTGATCCCATTGACCCCATCCCTGCCTGATCCCATTGATCCCATTGACCCCATCCCTGCCTGATCCCATTGATCCCATTGACCCCATCCCTGCCTGATCCCATTGATCCCATTCCTGTCAGATCCCATTGATTCCATTGACCCCATCCCTGCCTGATCCCATTGATTCCATTGACCCCATCCCTGCCTGATCCCATTGATCCCATTGACCCCATCCTCGCGTGATCCCATTGATCCCATTGACCCCATCCCTGCCTGATCCCATTGATCCCATCCCTGTTCCCATCCCATTGATCCCATTGATCCCATCCATCCTATCCCTACCTGATCCCATTGACCCCATCAACCCCATCCCTGCCTGATCCCATTGATCCCATCCCTGTTCCCATCCCATTGATCCCATTGATCCCATCCCTGTTCCCATCCCACTGATCCCATTGATCCTATTGATCCCATCCCTGTTCCCATCCCTTTGATCCCATTGATCCCATTGATCCCATCCCTGTTCCCATCCCATTGATCCCATTGATCCCATCCCTGTTCCCATCCCATTGATCCCATTGATCCCATCCCTGTTCCCATCCCATTGATCCCATTGATCCCATCCCTGTTCCCATCCCATCCCTGTTCCCATCCCATCGATCCCATCCCTGTTCCCATCCCATTGATCCCATTGACCCCATCTCTGTTCCCATCCCATTGATCCCATCCCTGTTCCCATCCCATCCCTGTTCCCATCCCATTGATCCCATCCCTGTTCCCATCCCATCCCATTGATCCCATCCCTGTTCCCATCCCATTGATCCCATTGATCCCATCCCTGTTCCCATCCCATCGATCCCATCCCTGTTCCCATCCCATTGATCCTATCCCTGTTCCCATCCCATTGATCCCATTGATCCCATCCCTGTTCCCATCCCATCCCTGTTCCCATCCCATTGATCCCATTGATCCCATCCCTGTTCCCATCCCATTGATCCCATTGATCCCATCCCTGTTCCCATCCCATCCCTGTTCCCATCCCATCCCTGTTCCCATCCCATCCCATTGATCCCATTGACCCCATCCCTGTTCCCATCCCATCCCATTGATCCCATTGATCCCATCCCTGTTCCCATCCCATCCCTGTTCCCATCCCATCCCATTGATCCCATTGACCCCATCCCTGTTCCCATCCCATCGCTCTGACCCCGTCTCTCCCATAGGATATGGATTATTCCCGGATCATTGAGCGGCTCCTCAAGCTGGCTGTGAGTGCCTGCACCCCCCCCAACCCCTGCACCCCCCCCAACCCCTGCACCCACTGACCCCATCCCTGCCTGATCCCATTGATCCCATCCCTGCCTGATCCCATTGATCCCACTGACCCCATCCCTACCTGATCCCATTGATCCCATCCCTGCCTGCTCCCATTGACCCCATTGTTCCCATCGACCCCATTGACCCCATCGTTCCCATTGACCCCATCGTTCCCATTGGCCCCATCGACCCCATTGTTCCCATCGTTCCCATTGACCCCATTGTTCCCATTGACCCCATCGTTCCCATTGTTCCCATCGACTGCATTGACACCATCGACCCCTTGACCCCATCGTTCCCATTGACCCCATTGACCTCATCAACCCCATCGTTCCCATTGTTCCCATTGACCCCATTGTTCCCATTGACCCCATCGTTCCCATTGACCCTATCGTTCCCATTGACCACATTTATCCCATTGACCCCATCATTCCCATTGACCCCCTTTGATCCCATTGACCGCATTTATCCCATTGACCCCATCATTCCCATTGACCCCATTGTTCCCATTGACCCCATTTATCCCATTGACCCCATTGTTCCCATTGACCCCATTTATCCCATTGACCCCATCATTCCCATTGACCCCATTGTTCCCATTGACCCCATTTATCCCATTGACCCCATCGTTCCCATTGACCCCATTGTTCCCATTGACCGCATTTATCCCATTGACCCCATCATTCCCATTGACCCCATCGTTCCCATTGCCCCCCTTGACCCCATTGCCCCCCTTGACCCCATTGCCCCCCCAGGTCCCGAACCACCTCATCTGGCTCATCTTCTTCTATTGGTTCTTCCACTCCTGCCTCAACGTCGTGGCCGAGCTGATGCAGTTTGGGGACCGGGAATTCTACCGGGATTGGTGGTGAGGCTCCAGGGATGCAGCGGGATCAAGGGGGGGGGATGGGGGGACGGGGACCCCCCCCAATCCGGATGCAATTCCCAACCCCCCCCCCCCCCCCCCCAAATTCCCATCAGGAACTCGGAATCCGTCACCTACTTCTGGCAGAACTGGAACATCCCCGTCCACAAGTGGTGCCTCAGGTACCCCCCCCCCAAAAACCCTGTTAATGGGAACCACCCCAAACCGTGTTAATGGGAACCACCCCAACCCCGTTAATGGGACCCCCCCCAAACCCTGTTAATGGGAACCCCCCCAAACCCTATTAATGGGAACCACCCCAAACCCTGTTAATGGGAACCCCCCAACCCCGTTAATGGGAACCACCCCAAACCCTGTTAATGGGAACCCACCCCAAACCCCGTTAATGGGAACCACCCCAAACCCTGTTAATGGGAACCCCCCATAACCCTGTTAATGGGAACCCCCCCAAACCCCATTAAAGGCACCCCCCCAACCATGTTAATGGGAACCACCCCAAACCCTGTTAATGGGACCCCCCCCCAAACCCCATTAAAGGCACCCCCCCAACCATGTTAATGGGAACCACCCCAAACCCTGTTAATGGGAACCCCCCATAACCCTGTTAATGGGAACCCACCCCAAACCCCGTTAATTGGAACCCCCCAACCCCGTTAATGGGAACCACCCCAAACCCCGTTAATGGGAACCCCCCCAAACCCTGTTAATGGGAACCCCTCCCAGCCCTGTTAATGGGAACCCCCCCCAAACCCCGTTAATGGGAACCCCCCCAAACCCTGTTAATGGGAACCCCCCAAACCTCATTAATGGGAACCCCCCAACCCCATTAATGGGAACCCCCCCAAACCCTGTTAATGGGAACCCCCCATAACCCTGTTAATGGGAACCCCCCCAACCCCGTTAATGGGAACCACCCCAAACCCTGTTAATGGGAACCCCCCGCCAACCCCGTTAATGGGAACCCCCCCCAAACCTCATTAATGGGACCCCCCTCCCCACCCCTGTTAATGGGACACCCCCCCAAACCCCATTTATGGGAACCCCCCCCATGAACCCCGTTAATGGGAACCCCCCCCATGAACCCCGTTTATAGGACCCCCCCATGAACCTCGTTTTTGGGGACCCCCCATGAACCCCGTTAATGGGACCCCCCATGAACCCCGTTTTTGGGGACCCCCCCATGAACCCCGTTTTTGGGGACCCCCCAATCCCCATTTTTGGGGTCCTGGCCCCCCTGAACCCCATTTTGTGGTGTTGGGCCCCCTTGAACCCCATTTATGGGGATCCCCTGCACCCTGGTTTTGGGGTGCTGGGCCCCCCCAAACCCCATTTTTTGGGGTGCTGGGCCCCCCCAAACCCCATTTAGAGACCTCTGGGCCCCCCCAAACCCCATTTTTGGGGTCTTCCTCCCAAAAAACCCCATTTAGAGACCTCTGGGCTCCCCCCAATCCCCATTTTTGGGGTGCTGGGACCCCTTTGAACCCCATTTTTGGGGTCCTGGCCCCCCGAACCCCATTTAGGAGCCTCTGGGCCCCCCAACCCCATTTTTGGGGTGCTGGGACCCCCCTAAACCCCATTTATGGGGTCCTGGCCCCCTTGAACCCCATTTTTGTGGTCTTGGGACCCCTTGAACCCCATTTATGGGGATCCCCTGCACCCTGGTTTTGGGGTGCTGGGCCCCCCCAAACCCCATTTTCGGGGTCCTCCCCCCCCCAAACCCCATTTAGAGACCTCTGGGTCCCCCCAAACCCCATTTTGAGACCTCTGGCCCCCCCCAAACCCCATTTTTTGGGGGCTGGGCCCCCTTTGCACCCCATTTTTGGGGTCCTCCCTCCCCCAAACCCCATTTAGAGACCTCTGGGCCCCCCCCAAACCCCATTTTTTGGGGGCTGGGCCCCCTTTGAACCCCATTTATGGGGATCCCCTGCACCCTGGTTTTGGGGTGCTGGGCCCCCCCAAACCCCATTTAGAGACCTCTGGGCCCCCCCCAAACCCCATTTTTGGGGTCTTCCCCCCCAAAACCCCATTTAGGAGCCTCTGGGCCCCCCCAAACCCCATTTTTGGGGTGCTGGGACCCCCGTAAACCTCTTTTTTTGGGTGCTGGGCCCCCTTGAACCCCATTTATGGGGATCCCCTGCACCCTGGTTTTGGGGTGCTGGGCCCCCCCAAACCCCATTTAGAGACCTCTGGGCCCCCTGAACCCCATTTTTGGGGTCCTCCTGCCCCCAAACCCCATTTAGAGACCTCTGGGCCCCCTCAAACCCCATTTTTGGGGGGCTGGGCCCCCCCGAACCCCATTTTTGGGGTCCTGCTCCCGCAAAACCCCATTTAGAGACTTCTGGGCCCCCCCAAAACCCATTTTTGGGGCCCTGCCCCCCCCAAACCCCATTTTTGGGGTCCTCCCTCCCCAAAACCCCATTTAGAGACCTCCGGGCCCCCCCCCAAACCCCATTTTTGGGGTGCTGGGCCCCCCCAAACCCCATTTAGAGACCTCTGGGCCCCCCCAAACCCCATTTTTGGGGTGCTGGGCCCTCTTTGCACCCCATATATGGGGTCCTGCCCCCCCTGAACCCCATTTTTGTGGTCTGGGGACCCCTTGAACCCCATTTATGGGGATCCCCTGCACCCTGGTTTTGGGGTGCTGGGCCCCCCCAAACCCCATTTAGAGACCTCTGCCCCCCCCAAACCCCATTTTTGGGGTCCTGCCCCCCCCAAACCCCATTTAGAGACCTCTGGGTCCCCCCAAACCCCATTTTTGGGGTCCTGCCCCCCCAAAACCCCATTTAGAGACCTCTGGGCCCCCCCCCAAACCCCATTTTTGGGGGGCTGGGCCCCCTTTGAACCCCATTTATGGGGATCCCCTGCACCCTGGTTTTGGGGTGCTGGGCCCCCCCAAACCCCATTTAGAGACCTCTGGGCCCCCCCCAACCCCATTTTTGGGGTGCTGGGCCCCCCCAAACCCCATTTTTGGGGTCTTCCCCCCCCAAAACCCCATTTAGAGACCTCTGGGTCCCCCCAAACCCCATTTTTTGGGTGCTGGGACCCCTTGAACCCCATTTATGGGGTCCTGGCCCCCCCTGAACCCCATTTTTGTGGGGTTGGGACCCCTTGAACCCCATTTATGGGGATCCCCTGCACCCTGGTTTTGGGGGGCTGGGCCCCCCCAAACCCCATTTTTGGGGTTTTCCCCCCCAAAAACCCCATTTAGAGACCTCTGCCCCCCCCAAACCCCATTTTTGGGGTCCTGCCCCCCCAAAACCCCATTTAGAGACCTCTGCCCCCCCCCAAACCCCATTTTTGGGGTCTTCCCCCCCCAAAACCCCATTTAGGAGCCTCTGGGCCCCCCCAAACCCCATTTTTGGGGTCCTGCCCCCCCAAAACCCCATTTAGAGACCTCTGGGCCCCCCCCAAACCCCATTTTTTGGGGGCTGGGCCCCCTTTGCACCCCATTTTTGGGGTCCTGCTCCCCCAAAACCCCATTTAGAGACCTCTGGGCCCCCCCAAACCCCATTTTTTGGGTGCTGGGCCCCCTTTGTACCCCATTTTTGGGGTCCTTCCCCCCTCCCACTGACCCCCATTTTTGGGGTGCCCCCCAGGCACTTCTACAAGCCGCTGCTGAGGTGTGGGGCCAGCCGCTGGGGGGCTCAAGTGGCCGTGTTCCTGGCGTCCGCCTTCTTCCATGAGGTCAGTTTTGGGGGGGCCCCTGCCCCACTGCACCCCATAACCCCACTGCCCCCCCCCCACCCCTTGCTATGGGGCTGAGCCCCCCACATCCCTGCAGTACCTGGTGAGCGTCCCCCTCAAGATGTTCCGGCCCTGGGCGTTCATGGGGATGGCGGCGCAGGTAAGGGGGGGGACCCCGAAAATGGGGGGGGACCCCTAAAATGGGGGGAACCCTAAAGTGGGGGGACCCCTAAAGTGGGGTGGGGTGCCCCTAAAGTGTGTGTGTGGACCCCTAAAATGGGGGGGGTTATACCTAAAAGGGGGGGTACCCCTAAAATGGGGGGGTGCCCCTAAAATGGGGGGGTACCCCTAAAGTGGGAGGGGTGCCCCTAAAGTGTGTGTGGACACCCCTAAAATGGGGGGGGTTATACCTAAAATGGGGGGGTGCCCCTAAAATGGGGGGGTTACACCTAAAGTGGGGGGGATACCCCTAAAATGGGGGGAGTACCCCTAAAGTGGGGGGGTACCCCTAAAGTGGGGGGGGGTGCCCCTAAAGTGTGTGTGGGGACCCCTAAAATGGGGGGGTTATACCTAAAATGGGGGGACCCCTAAAATGGGGGGGTGCCCCTAAAGTGGGGGGGACCCCTAAAGTGGGGGAGTGCCCCTAAAGTGGGGGGGAGTACACCTAAAATGGGGGGGGGACCCCTAAAGTGTGTGTGTGGGACCCCTAAAGTGGGGGGGTACCCGTAAAGTGGGGGGGGACCCCTAAAGTGGGGGGGACCCCTAAAGTGGGGGGGTACCTCTAAAATGGGGGGGAGTACCCCTAAAGTGGGGGGGAGTACCCCTAAAATGGTGGGGACCCCTAAAGTGTGTGTGTGGGACCCCTAAAATGGGGGGGTACCCCTAAAGTGGGGGCGTACCCCTAAAGTGTGTGGGGGACCCCTAAAATGGGGGGGAGTACCCCTAAAATGCAGGGGACCCCTAAAGTGTGTGTGGGGACCCCTAAAGTGGGGGGGTACCCCTAAAATGGGGGGGGGTACCCCTAAAGTGTGTGTGTGGGACCCCTAAAATGGGGGGGAGCCCCTAAAATGGGGGGGAGTACCCCTAAAGTGTGTGTGGGACACCCCTAAAATGGGGGGGTGCCCCTAAAATGGGGGGGTTACACCTAAAATGGGGGGGTACCCCCTAAAATGGGGGGAGTACCCCTAAAGTGTGTGTGGGACACCCCTAAAATG